TTGTCTATGTCTAAAGACATTGCGGGGGCATTCGAAGACTTAAATACTCAACTGTATAACTTGGGTCTGGACACTCCCACTTCAGCTCTGGCTGAACGCAGTTCCTGCATGGCCTCTTACTTTTTGAACCTGGGGTGTTTCTCCTACATATGACCTCAACTAAACTCAAACGATACAAAAAATCCTTAACAGTACACATGTTGAACGCGGCCAGGTCGTGCATACCCTTGTTGTGGAGACAAACTAACCCCCCCTCGGTGCGACTTTGGCTAAACATTATGGACAACATATACCGCATGGAGGACCTGACAGCCTCCATGCGGAATGAGGAAGAACGCTTCAGATCCACTTGGATGCCCTGGCTTCACTTCATGCGTAATGCATATGTGGCAGGTTACGGGCGGACGGCAAGAGGTTAAATAAATTTATTCTGACATACTACACTATGGGAAGCCTTTTTTCTCTCTCTGAGCACACGATTTTGGAAAGATAGGCCATTAGTTGGGAGGAATCTACCCCAATTTATTGTCGGATTAAAAACAAAAGGAGAGGATTTGGTTCTATATAGATCAGCAAAGCGCTAATTGTTCATCTGAAATATGGTGAGCAATAGGAGTCGGTGAGTGCGGCCAGAGCACTGATTCACTAATTGTTTTTGCATTCACTGACGTTGGTGTTGATTATAAAAGCAGGAGGATATATCCTCACATACAAGGACTTTATTGTATCCAGAAGTAATGGACTTCACACATGGTTATGCAGATTAGGTGGGAGTTATACATCACTTGTGAGATTCAACACAGGATTTTCTATATACACAGTTTATGAGATGTACTAGCACGTTTTTTTTTTGTTTTTTTAACTATCATCAGCACAGGCATTGTGCAACACAGGTGTTGTGTATGACACAAAATTGTGTATCCCTTTGTGACAATTTCACATTTTATACTATTTTTTTCACATTTTAGGGATATAATTTTTGAGTTTGAAGCGCAGTGCTATTTTCTTTTTTCCTATTTTGGGTGTACTCACCTATTAAGCACAGCTGCTCTTAGAGTGTTATTTGATTCCTAGCGCAGTTTCTTTCTATCTAACATGTACACACATATGCCTTACCTGAGTGAACGAAAATATCAGAAGTCCCCACTGAGGACAGAGAAGCACCAGAATTACAGTGACTGAGCAACGGAGAATAACTGCAAGACTCTCAGCAACAACCTGGTAAAAACATAAAATAATAAACAGTTGAAAGTGCCAGTAATGTTCTGGCACCTTTTTAATATACTTGTGTTTTTAAGAAAATGTTATCTTTGGCTTGTTAAAGTGAACCTGAAATTACATATTTGTGCCTTATACAGCACCTTTCCAGGTGCCTGTACATCAGGCTCTTCCTCCGTGTATGCACCCATTATGTCTGGGTCCTCGGAAATAGACTTTCTTCCTGGATCCACAGAACTTAAAGCTTGTTCCTGTCTGAGGCTTTCCCTCCTTATGGAGGGTGTCAATTATGGTTTTCTGCACAACTGTCAGGTCAGCAGTCTTTCCCATGATTGTGATTCCTACTGAACCAGACTGAGAGACAATTTAAAGGCTCAGGAACCCTTTGCAGGTGTTATGGCTTAATTAGCTGATTAGAGTGGGACACTTTGAGCCTAGAATATTGCACCTTTTCACAATATTTTCTGAGATTGTGGATTTGGGGTTTTCATGAGCTGTAAGCCATAATCATCACAATTATGACAAATCACGGTTTGAACTATCTTGCTTTGCATGTAATGAGTCTATCTCGTATATTAGTTTAACCTTTTAAGTTGCATTAGTGAAATAAATGATCTTTTGCACGATATTCTAATTATTCGAGTTTCACCTGTATAATACCAATGCTGGCCAATTACTATGATGGGCTGCCTTACTGGCCAACAATGAGGCTTAGATGACAAGAAGGGGCTCCTAGCCCAATCAACCCAGGCAGTAAGTGCATTTAGAGCATGCAGGTATTTTGAGTACCCAATGAGCTTACACTGAGCAAGGGCCTGACAGTGATGGAATAGTTAATCACAACACACTTCAGGCTTAGGCAGTTATAATGGTCACAGCCATAACTGTTAAAGTGTCTTTTGGACATGCAATGTCCACTTTATGGTAACCATCTGTTTATATACTGAACATACCTTTAACCTTATGAAAAGATAAGCTTGTGCAAGTACCCAGAATGGTTCTGCTATAAGTTCCACCACAGCTGAAATTCCAAATGCCAAAACACCCGTGCCATAATGTGGGATGATTTCAGGGTCTGGGGCATCCAAGACTCTCAGCCATATCCATCCAAGAATGAACGACCAGCCGAGTCCTAATGGAACACTAAAACCAATACAAGACACAATGCGTGAGACTATAGACGACCTGTGATCATTTTTAAATGGGCAAATGGAAAACACATGCCCTTTACTTATTAAAGGTTTTCAAGAAAGTTGGCATAGTTGAAATCGTGCATACAATAATCAAGAGTAACTTGCTAACCACTAGCAACATTCATGAGTCCACAAACAAGAATTAGGAGGAAATATACTTCAGCCATTGTAGGATAAATTTTTATAAATATTAAATATGATGTATTGGATGTAACAATGTAAGATGAAAGTTTTTTAAAGGGCTGAATTTGCTTTACTAGAGCCTGTAGGCACACACTCTGCTACGATTATTACTAGGGATGCACGCTTTTTTTTCTGGTATTGAGTACCGATATATTTCTTTTCGGTACTCGCCGATACCGAACACTGATACCGGAAGTCCCATTAAGGAATCATTAAGGAGCCAGGCAACGTGTATTGACTTGCCACCTGGCTTCCTGATTAGCCGGGAAGCCGTCTCCATGCTTCCTCGTCACCAGGTGACGAGAAAGCATGGGGCCAGCTTTCTGGCCCATCAGGAAGCCGGGCGCCATGTAATGACGTGACGCCTGGCTTCCCGATTAGCAGGGAAGCCACCTCCATGCTCCCTTGCCACCAGGTGACGAGGGAGCATGAAGCCGGCTTTCTGGCCAATCAGAAAACTGAGTGGCGTGTAATAACTCGCCGTCCGGCTGCCTGATTGGCTAGCTTCCTGATTGGCCGGGAAGCCGGCTCCATGCTTGTGACGAGGGAGCCGGGTTCCCAGCCAATCAGGAAGCCCGGCTTCCTGATACCGGAAGCTCAAGTATCAGGCTAGGCATCAGAGCATTTGGGCGGCTATGAGTACTCACCCAAATACTCGGCATCAGCACAGGTACCGATACTAGTATCGGTGCATCCCTAATAATTACTTGTCCTAACATAGTTTTCTTAATTTGAGACATTTAAATAAGCTTAAAAGGAGATTACGATTTCTAACAATGGTGAAGATCCTTATTTGTTTCTTTTACAGATCAACAAAGGCTTACTGTGCCTAAAGATACATTTCATCTTGAATCATATGATCCTATACTTTTAGATGCGGCTATTTTATTTAATTTCCTAATACAATCTTTACTGCATTATAGTGTACTGAGTATTATTGTGTCACATTAACAAATTAAACTGTCTTTTGAAACAGGTTCAACTGATAAGATCAGTTCTATTTTGTGACTGTCCCGACTGTGGTCAACATATATAAAAAGCAATAAAATTGAAAATAAAGGTTCTAGAGTGTGCCAAAAAGACAAGACTAAGCAGTAACAGAGAGGCTATGCCAGTAAAAAAATACTTAAAAATTAATGACAAGGGCAACAGAGTAATGTATTCTGTCAATCAACAATCACCAAAATGACCTTGTTCTAAATACAGTAGATAGCTAGGCCAGTATTTAGAAGTAAACAGAATACAATAACTTGAGTTGAATGATAATGTTATATCTGCCTTCCAAGGAATGGAATCAAAGGTCTGACAGCACAGCCTGGTGACATTTCAGTGCAAATGCTGTGTTTTTTTATGATACTCACGCAAGCCATGTGAGGTGTATGGTATGTGTCCAGCTCTGCTGTGTGGAGTGGCTCAGACAGGCTCTACGAAAGGCTTCTCGGGCAAGGAACACTACTGTGGTATAAAAAAGGGTCAGCCTAAAAAAAAAAAAAGGGAAAGGGAGATGAACAACTGATAGTAAACAATACAAATGACAATTGTCATTTCTATACTTCGAGTGTAACACAAACCTGACAAGGGTTTGAATTCTTCTCCCATCTTTCCAAAACTAAAAAAAATATTTTGCCTGGATATCCACTTCATGCCTATTTTTTCTTCAGATTTTTTAATTGAAATTTTGCATGTATTGCAACATAATAAAACCATACAAATAAAATGAATAGTACAGTCCATTCTGTTCCACTTGCCTCTTGTCAATATTGTTGGCAGTGTTTAAATACATTAACACCAAGTTTACAATTGGAGCAAAATAATATGAGAATGCAATAATAATTAAAAAAAGGATTATGAACTTTAAAATCAGATAAGATGTGAGACATTCTAGTCCCGGTTAAGAAGAGTGCAGATAGTATTTGAAGCCCATGGCTCTATTCTATCAAATTGTTGTGTGCAGCCTCTATTGTCATAGGTGAATTTATAAAAAGGTAATATTGAATCATCTCCTTAAGGTTGGAGGGGAGGGTCTCTTCCAGGCAAAGAGAATGACCTTAGCATAACATTTTTTTTTTAAGGAGGCGTTGGGCATGAGAGACCCTCTAGTATGCCAAGAAGGCAAACCAAAAAGAAAACAGGTTTTTGGAAAGTCCAAAGATGTCTCAATAAATTCCGTAACCTTTGACCAGAATCCGTATCATATTTCCTAAAACAATGTAAGGTGGGACTAAGGCCCACTTTGTAAAACACTGTATTGGTATAATACATTTAAAAAAAATTGTAATTGAATAATCTTATCTTTAGACAAAATAAGTGAGGAATTGTGTGTCTTTAAATTCGATCCAGTCACAGGACGTGACTACCACCGGCATGGCTAGCTGCTGCGGAGTAGAGCTCCCACTGATAGCCTCACAATACAGTGCCATTTTGTAGAATAAAAGCTTGTACAACCACATCATCACACTCCACAAGTGTATGAACCACTAGTATCTTGCCATGAGCAGAAACAAGCAGAAAACAGCCGCTAGATAGCTTAAAGAATTCTGTGACTTAAAGTGACATTAAACCCTCAGATTTTTTAACATAAAACAATAGTGTAATGCGTGCCTTACTGTAATCCATGGTTGTTTCCCTTCTCTTTGCTGCTCTTCCTTTTAAATCTGTATCTCTTCTCATGCTCTGCAGAACTTATGTTTTGCAGCAGACTGCCTTGTCTCAGGAATGGATACACGGTGTCTGTGTATTAGTTTCTATAGGCTTGTAATCTGAGCCAGCACTACAGGAAGAGGCCCTGAGCTGAAAAGGGAAGTTCTCCCCAAGCATGAGAAGACATGAGGATTTAAAAGGAAGAGCATCAAAGAGAAGGGAAACAACCATGGATTACAGTACGGCACACATTACAGTATTGTTTTATGTTAAAAAATCTGAGGGTTTAATGTCACTTTAGGAAAATTCTGCCATTTCTATTTTCCGCGACTTCTCTCTGGAGTTACAGATACCAACACATTTACTGCAGCTACATACAAATTACATGAAGATGGCTTAATTTATTCTATGGCCTATCCAGTATGCCTGTGTGTGATTGGTAATAAGAAAAAATGCATTTTTTCACTGATCCTGAGCATGTTATGGACTGGTGGCAATGACACCTACCCCATCTTCCTAATATCACATATACTCAAGATACCCTTTTCCACTTTCACTCAGTGACCAGAACTTAATTTGTAACTTTCATTTTGGAGACTTAACAAAAAAATGTAGCCTAAAAGACGACTACCTGACACAAAGCAGCCTTCTAAAGGATACATTTCTTGAGAAAGGTTATCCCAAAGAACTAATTAACTAGGCCTGTGACAACTTCACCAAACAAAACATAACACACAAATCCAAAAACAAACCAAAACAATAACAAAACACAGCACGTTTGAATCCATCCTAAAGAAAAATTGGCACCTACTTTTGTTTGATCCAAAATTGGGCCCAGTCCTTCCCCCTAAAACCCTCAGTAGTTTTTGAAAAAGCCAAAAGTGTGAAAAACATAATAGCCCCCAGTAAATTATCCGTCACAAAACACAAACCCAAACAAACTTTTTTGCTTGACAACAGAAAAAAACAAAATGCCTGATTCATCACCCATGGCAAACCCTCATTCCAGGACAGCTCTGGCAATACCTTCCCCATAACACAATTCATCACTTGTGCCCACAATCATGTAGTTTACCGCCTCAAATGCCCTTGCGGTCTACTGTATATAGGCCACACTATCCGCCCCCTCCGCATTGGTGGGCACCGCAGGCTCATAGAACAAGGCAGCACCGAACACAACGCTTCCCGAAATTTTCTTGAGAAACCATAAAGCCATAAAACCATAAAGCACCTTCAAATTTTCTCAGTTGAACAGATCCCTGTAAGCACTCTTACCTCAGACAGATATTTGAAATTGCGCCTTTTTGCGAAAAGGTAAAAAAATTACTGTACGCAAAGACAGGCCTAAAATGTGCAATATAACATGGGTGCAAAAAATTGAAAAAAGGCCTCAGTCATGAAGGGGTTAAATATTGGAACTACCGCAGCCCTCGGCCAGTCACTTGGTACTATACCTGTCATTAAGGAGTCCTTAAAAATGATGAATAATGGTCTTGTTATAACCTCGCTCAGTTCTTTAAGTATCTTGGGGTTTGCTGACGATACGAAAATCGGGAGTGTAATTGAAACCGACCAAGATAGTATATCATTGCAGGAGGACCTGAACAAAATAGGGGAGTGGGCAACTATATGGCAGATGAGGTTTAATGTCGATAAAAGCAAAATTATGCACTTTGGGCCTAAAAGTTAAAAAAATGGGTTATACAATTATGGGTGTGCCGCTAGGGAAGTCAGAAATGGAGAAAGACTTGGGGGTCATAGTAGACCATAGACTGAATAATAGCTTACAGTGCCAGGTTGCAGTAAGTAAAGCTAGTAGAGTCCTGTCCTGTATCAAAAAGGTAATGTTTTGCAGGGACAAGTCTATAATTTTGCCACTGTACACTTCATTGGTTCGGTCTCACCTGGAGTATGCGGTCCAGTTTTGGGCACCAGTACACAGAAAGGATGTCCTGGAGCTGGAAAGAGTCCAGCGAAGGGCAACCAAACTCATTAAGGGAATGGAGGACCAGAACTATGAGACAAGGCTACTAAATTTAAATATGTTCCCGCTGGAAGTAAGGAGATTAAGGGGGGATACGATTTTCATGTAGTAGATGTTCAATGGTCATAGCAACATTAGCAACAAACTCTTTACGCTTAACTCCTTAACAAAGACTAGAAGCCACCAACTAAAATTGGTGGAAAAAAAATTCCAACACAAGGGGCGAAAGGCATTCTTCTCAGTTAGAGCGGTTAGGGTTTGGAACTCTCTTCAACAGGCAGTGATTTCAGCAAAGAGTGTGTAATCATTCAAGAAGCTTTTGGATGATTTCCTGAGTTACCATAATGTACAGGTACTCTTAAGAATGTGATTACACAGGGACCTATACATACACACACACAATAAGTTGGACTTGATGGACTTATGTCTTTATTCAACCTCAAATACTATGTAACTATGTAACGTGTTACATATCGCCGCGAACGTCGGAGTGAGAGCAATAATTTTAGAGCCATCAATCACTGGTAACACTAAACTGATGAGCGGTAAAAGCTTTTAAAGTGTCGCCTACGGCCAATTTTGGGTATTGTAGTTTCTGAGGTTTCGCACGCGCAATTTTAAGGTTTGACATGTTTTGTGTTTTACCCGACATGATCCCGTCTTTTATATTTTACAAAAAAAATTGGGTAATAATAAATGTTTTATAATTCAATATAGAGGAAACTTTTTTTTTTTAATTTGGTAATTGTTCCTTAATATAGTAAAAACAAATAAAAACCCTAGTGGTGATTATAAATACCATGAAAAGAAAGCTCTATCTCTCCCCAAAAAAATTGTATAAAATGAATTTCAGTACATGTCGGAATAAATGTCAGTCTAAGTACTGCAGCGCTGGATACTGAAAAAAGGTTCTGGACAGGAAGGGGGTGAAACACTGCGGACTTCAAGTGGTTAAGGAAGCCAGGCGGTGTGTAAAGACTCGCCACCTGACTTCCCGATTAGCAGGGAAGCCGTCTCCATGCTTCTCGTCACTAGGCTTGTGGCAATCTCGGTCCAAAGATGAGCAATTTCCTGCTGGCAATGTGCATTGAGACCAGAGGTGAAAAGCTTCTGAGCAGCCGGCTCTGATAGTTGAAGGTTTAAAAGGGAATCCCCACCTGTAAACACATTTTGTGGGCCTGAAGAAGTTGCAAAAAAGGCTTCAGAGTCTGGCGTTTAGCCAGGGTTAGCGGGGAGAGATCTGTAAACAGTTGATATGGATGCCCCTGGAAGGAGAGCGGGCATGCATTTCGTGCCACCTGAAGGAGCCTTTCCTTGGTCTTGAAAAAGTGTAGCCGCACTATCACATCTTTAGGAGGGCCATCAGGAGTCCTGGGGGAAAAGACAAAGTGAACACGATCCATTTCCAAACGCTTTAATGGAAGCTCCGGTGCTAGCTCCTGAAAGAGAGTAGTGACCAAGGAGTAGAGGTTGACAATGGACAATGGTAAGCCCCGAAGGGGAAGGTTGGAGCAACAGTCTTGGTTTTCGTGATCCTCCAATTGAGAACTGAGGGCTTAATTTTCTTTAGTCAAATTCTAAATGTCAGCTTCATGTCCCCCAACTACCATGGTGAGGTCATGGCAGCGACCATCCAGCCTAGAAGTTCGCCTACCAATATCTCAGACTTCTTTAGTGAGGTGATCCGTGAGTTTGCGGGACATATTATCCAAAGCTTTATGGAGCATAGTTTCGCAATGGTACAGAATGTCCGGTGGAGTGGGAGAGGCACGAATCAATTGTAAATCACCCAGGGCAGATGGTCCTTGGGCCTGCTTTATTGCATTTGTTGGCACACTGGAACACCATAGTCGG